TGAAGGGATTGGATTGAAGCCAATTGCTGGAATCAGGAAATAAATTAAAGAAGGTAAATCTAGGCTGTCAAACCTGTTGAAGGACAGGGAAAGAAAGAAACAGACAATCTACAAGGTCACAATACATGAACGTTTGAATGACTAGTAGTGAAAACAATCCAAAAAACCCACAAGACACTAAAAAATTCAGACAATATTTGAAGACCATGCCTGCCAGGGGACTGGACGTCTGTAACTCTAGTCCTGCTAGTCTGTTGCACAAAAATCATAACCACAAACAGCCTTGTGGTACAGAGTTTAACAAATGTGTCTTCACATTAATTTTGTGGATCATTATTACTATGTGAGATGCATGGAGCAAACTACTGTGAGCAAGATGATGTAAATCCATTTGACTGTAGGATCATGATAAAAAGGGTCCGGGAATAACCAGGATTGTTAGGCCGTTTAGGAGATAAAATAGCTAGATAATCGTCACAAATAAGCTGCAGACAGCCTTGGGTTTTCTTTGCGGATATGTCTGTAAGATTGAGCGGGGAGGAAAATTTATTCTCTCTTTGTGGATCTGTTTTTCGAACGGATCATCTAGTCATGTAGATCTTTTTTTTTTTAATTTATTATTTATTTGTATCCCGCTTCTCTAAAGAAGCACCCAAAGCAGTTTTACAAAGATACTTTAGAAGCCACAACAGGTATTAGAAGCACGTTACAGCTCCCGCAGCTCCTCCAGGGGGCGCAAACGCCCATCTCCGAAGAAACTGTGCCGCCACGGGCACAGTAGCCCAGTCACGTGGCTCGCAAGCGGTACGTGCGTGCTGAAGTCAGACGCTGTTAGGCGCCGCCGGTTTGGCTATTCGCCCGCCATTTTGGCCCGCTCTGTGTGAGAGCAGCTCAGGCGGTCGCTTCGGCCTCGGTAAGTGGGATCGTGAGGCGGCATTATCTGGCAGTAGCGGAGGGCGAGGGAACGGGGGGGATGAGGGATGGAAATCTGGTGCCGGCGGCCGCTAAAAGGCTCCGCGCGGAGAGAGTCGGGTGGCCCGCGGCGAGCCCCGGCCGGAGCCGGTGCAGAGAGAGCATCGTCCTTCCTCTGCGCCTTTCTGCCTTGCGCCTTGGGGTCTAAGGGATGGGCTGGGGGAAGATCCGCGCCTGGAGCGTCCTATTTTACTCCTAACTCGGGACAAAAGGAAATTTGGGGGGAGGGGGACAGCGAAGAGCGCAGGAATCGGAGGTCCCTTTTTTTTTAACATCCGGTTTTTTCGCCTTCAAGGTTCCGGCGTCGTTTCCTAACTTCTTTTTCCCAGTCCCAATTCTCCCAACAGCCTCGATGACTCTTTTTATTCTCACCTTTCATTTCTCTTCCGGCATTTCTTTCCTTTCAGATTTCTTCCTTCTGGGGAACATGAGTAATTTATCTGACTAAGCCCGGTCTAAGATTGCTCAAGGCTGCTGTTCCTGTACTTGTGCTAAATTTGAGAGTAATTTCTTCATGGTGAGGGAAAGGATAAAAATTTAAGGACTTGAGCTGGAAATAGACTCCATTCAGATTCGGTGAATTTTCTCCTCAATGAACTGGCAGGAAGCACAAGTGTGTGTTAGAGAGACATCTCAGAGTATATTCAATATTGACTCTTGTTCAGTTATCAAATAGTGTAGTATGTGATTGACTGAAAAATCAGACACTCCCCTGCCAGCCACCTGCCAGTGGAGGTCTTCATCAGAAACTTTCCTCTGGAAAAATACAGTTATTTTTCAGTTGAAATACTCCTTTTACTTCCAGTATCTTTCAGGTTTTATTTTTACTGTGTTTTTTCTCAGCACTCTGTAGTTTTATGATGTGGCACAAACCAAGGGTGAATCCTTGGAGCTGGCATGCTTTTCCTAGAAGAAATTATAGTATAGGTGACTGCCACAGAATGGATGAATTTGTGAAGGAGGTTGTCAGCCCTTCAAGGTAGCCCAGAGAAGAAGCACAAACCATGAGTACTAACACTATCTTTATTGTAAGTTTACAGTAATAGAATATCACAAGTCTGAAAGGATTTCTCCCTTCCTTTATGTTTACTTTCCAGAAAACTAGGGAGAGTCCCTTCTGAGATGCTTTCCATGTCCTTGTTCCTTCTGTGGGCTGAGAAATCTTTTGCATGACTGTTGTCTAGTCTGCAGATCTTCTTCCTGTCCCCCAAGGTTATTCTCACATACCATTACAGCGATTTAGACCTCACTTTATGCAATACAAAAAAAAAGCCAAAAAAATGTATAGGAGGCAGAATGTAGTTACCTAGACAGTTGTTAGTTTTAAGCAAATAAGATCCCAACCTTTTAAAACTATTGTCCTAATCACAGTCAAACTAGATAAGCAAGGTTATTAGAATTTTTCACCCTCACTTTATCATTTGACTGGTCTAGTCATCTAAAGCTCTGCTTTATGAGTTATGGGCTAGGCAACAAGTTTTCTCTGTGACAGACTACCTTTTATGGAACACTCTCCATCCCATCAGTGTTGTACGCCATCCAGAGTCACTTTTTTGTGAGGTGAGCAGCTATATAAATATGATCAATAAATTAAAAAATCCCAGAAGTATGTGCAGCCCCTACTTTATTAACATTCCAAAAAGAAACCAAGGCTGTATTGTTTCATCAAGCCTTGGGTCCCTAGAACTCCTAAGTGGGGTGTTCATCTGCCATATTTAACTTTTGGTTACATATACTTACTTTGTGTATTGTAGTATGCTGCCTAGAGACCTCCAGGATTATAAACATTGTAAATAAATTAATGCTGTATTTCTGGAACAGTGAAAAGTTCAGGGCAATCTCTGCTTCTATGTGGTGATTCTGTTGGGGGGATGGCCTCAATGCAGCAACCCATTCTCCTTTCCTGTTTCTCTAGTTCCAAGGTTAAAAAGAAAACCACCAGAAGGAATCTTCATTCTAATAATAAAAATGGCAGTATTGCAAAACCTAAGGTAGAAAATATTTTCAGCAAGATTGTATATCCTTTCTCATTTCCCTTACCCAATGGCTTTGTTGTGTGAATCCTTTTGAATATCAGCTGTCTGAATGCAGCTTATATAAATTACCTTTGCTGCCTTTCCTATGCAATCTGCTGTTGAAACAGTTAAACAGTCTGTAGGTTGGTTGAGTGTCATATGAATGAACTACAAACTACAGTTTGGTATTATATTAACAGATCTTGTGTTTGGTTGTACCTTTTTCTTGAATACTTAGGTATTTCCTCTTTATTACTAAATCTGAATCAGCCAGGTACATTTACAAACCATATTCTGATGCAGATTGAAAGGATCACATTCATTTTGGATGTAGTTAACCAAAGTGAACCAGAATAACATAAGGAATATTCCAAATGAAAGATTCATTTATATAACAGTAAATTAGCAGTCCTAATGTCTGACAGACGGATGATCCCTGAGTAAACAACTATATGGATAAAAGACTATAATTATATTACAAGGTTGTTATCTTGATTACAGATATATGTGCTATTATTTTAAAACCGTGTTCTCAGGACTCAGTAAACTGTAAAGTTCAGTTAACCTAGATTACAAAATCTTGCTTCAAGGCTGCCAGACTGGTAGCTGTTCAAGCCTACATGACAAATAATTGTAAACTGAAAAGAGTTGGAGTTAATCTAGCAGCACACATTGATTTTACAATTTAGTGTATGGTAAGGACACAGCAATGTTGGTGTAATTATGGATTATTATGGAAATTATGGATGTTCATCTTTTATTTGGAATGCATTTTGTAGAACTAGTGATACATTTTATTCAAGAAGATTTTGTGTATTTGTTGTTGTACATAACAATATTTTATTGCTTCCTATAATGACCTTTTTTCCAGAACACTAAAAATTCAAGCTCTAATCTGAATAAACTCTATATTGAAAAGTTAGAGGTAACTGTTTCTCTGAACAGTTCTAGCATGATACATGCAGGGGTTTTTTTCCCCTTCTCTATGCTTAACTCCTGTTCTTTGTGCCACTTAACCTCATGGCACTTAGATTATTCCTGATATTGGACTGTAATACATCTTTTTTAATATGTCGACTTTGGCTTTTTTGGCTGGTGTGGGTCTTCCAGGCTGTGTGGCCGTGTTCTGGAGGTTTTGTTTCCTAACGT